GGGGGGGGGGGGGGGGGGGGGGGGTAGGACACACACACAAAACAGACGGTGTGTCATCCTTGCCTTCTCCATGGCGTTCGTTGGAGTTGAGGAAGAAGAAAAAACACCTTTTTCGACACTATGACGAAAAAGTGCACACAAATATAAACTGATACACACGCGTCCGTATGAAGCCACCGTCGCACGAACGTGCAATTCACAACAACCTTGTCCATGGCGTTTGTTGCAGCTGGAGAAGAAAACAAAGACACCTTTCCGCACGGTCATGATGCACCCGTACGACACTGCCACCGTATCACGAAAACGAAAAACGAAAACAGCCCCCTCTTGCCTTCTCCATGGTGTTGTAGTTGAAGACGCGGATGTGCATGTCATCGCTCGCCGTGATGAACCACTGCTTCCTCACGATGAAACGGGCGCACCGGACCGGAAGCTGGCACACCTCGAACGACTTGACCATCGAGCTCGCCTGGGGGAGACGTTAACNGGGGGGGGGGGGGGGGGGGGGGGGGGGGGGGGGGGGGGGGGGGCAAGGTAAATACCGCAAATGACACAAGATAACACACCCCCTGGACCTATTTTTCAAATCTCGATTTCTCAACTACAGAGTCACGGCGCCGAAAACGGCGGCGTTCGAACCGTCTCATCCAGAGCTTTTCAAAATGTATCGTTTCGTTTATGCATCCTCTTCGTCGTGGAGTAATCGAGCTTTGAAAATTGGTCCGGGGGGTGTGTTATCTTGTGTCATGCACGGTAGTGAACGCATGCTTCGTGCTGGTTTCCGGAGAGGGGATACGCCGGGATGGGGGGGNGGGGGGGGGGGGGGGGGGGGGGGGGGGGGGGGGGGGGGGGGGGAGGCAGCAAACATCCTGGTTCTTGCGCATTGCAGGCGGACCAATGGGCAAGTAAATTTGTAAGATCGCTACACGCAGAATGAAGCACGCAAGAAAACATGTAAAAAACACACAGATAAACCTGCGAAGAGAAGAGATCAAAAACCTCAGCAACAGAACACAACGACTGATACTCCCAGATGGAGGCATGGCCGACAACGGCCTAAGAGCAGAGCATAATATTTCACCAACTACAAGACAAAAGGATAAGAACAGAACAGGATAGAACAGAATGCCAGAAGTACCTGGTAATCCCAGGTGGAGGCATGGCCGAGGGAAAGACGACCGCCTAAGAGCAGAACAGAATATTTCACCAACTACAAGGCAAAGGTTAAGAACAGAACAGAACAGAAAGGCAACAATATCTGGTAATTCGAGATCAAGAAAGCGGACCAAGAGCAGTACAGAACAGAACAGAACAGAACAGAATGGCAAAGAGTACCTGGTAGTCCCAGATGAAGACATGGCCGTTGTAGAGAGCGCTGAGTACCCACGGCTCGGTGGGGTGGATGTCGACGCACTTCACGCGGTCGGACCGGGAAGAGAGGAGCTTCTTGATCTCTAAACGAAGCGGCTTTAAGAAAAAAAGAAAACAAGAAGAAAAAACGCGCACACAGGCGAGAAGACACAGCGAACGAAACAGCAACAACAAGGTATGGGAAATTAGACGAGAGGTATAATGTGGCACCGAAAGCGAAAAATAAAGAAAACAGATGGGTGCTTTGTTGTTAGTCCATTGGCCACGCGTCCTCGAGAGGACGGAGAGGCGTTGTTCCCACAGGACCGATCACCGATGGCCAATCGTTCCTCCCTTCTTTGCCAAAGATGGTGTACAACTTGTTTTTCCCTATCCTATCTATCGATGTCGCGGTGTGTGTGTGGGAGGGGGAGTCCAGATGTGTGCGGAGTACTGCAGTATTCTTTACCCGCCCTTTTTGACACCCAAAAAACAGGAAAAATACTCCTACAAACACATTGCAGTCTTTGCCTGGTATGGTCGGCGTTTCAACATCGTGCAGGCCCCCAGAACGTACTTTATTGAAAGAAGAAGAACGGAGTTCAAGGAGTGCCTACATGGACCAAGGACCGCCTTCGCGATAAAATAAGCTCATGAATGAAGAGGACAGGGAGGGGGGTACGCAGACCCTATCCCTAACCCTAATCCTAACCCAGCTTCCCCGAGTGAACGCTTTCATCCACCATGTTTCCTGAATTCAAAAACCCTGCCACTACTGACCAATCAATAGATGCAGGGACAAAGACGAAGGTCGAAATTAGGGCTGACCGGGGGCATTGGCCTTCGAGAACGTAGTGAACAGACCACGACGATGCAGGAAGGTACACAAGACGACCACAAATATTCACGTGTGAGTGCGGCTCCGAGTGCGAACATCCGGGTTCATGTGTTCCAATTAACGTCCGTTTCACGAATGGAGAAAGGGAGAGAGAAATATCCATGATTGAGCTGCGACATACAGGAGGAAGTTACAGAGAGTTATTCTTCCGAGAAATCCAACCCTTGTTGCGGCGACGCCTGTTTCTTGCATGACGGCAGCGGGCATTTTTTCCGTTTTCCCTGAAATCCCACCAAAATCACCACGTCTTTACCGGTTGCAATGCCGTACGATTTTCGACACCGGTGTGGAAACAAAGAGAAACAAAAAAGGGGGGTTCTTCTTGCATGTCCCACACGCCCTCCATCGTACAATAGAAGTCTGCCGCCGACTCGCATGTTGGCACGAGTCCGCGTGCCCTTTCGCCATGACGTGGGTACAGCAGAGGCCGGGAGCACTTTTTTCTGGCCAAGCCCTTCAAAGCTGTCACTTGAACGGCACAATGCCAGCCGGACCGCAGTGGCAAGCAGCGACTATTCCTTTGCTCTCTGACGAACAAAAGTGCTGCTCGAGAATCGAATCCGTTTCGATACAGCTAAACAGCGCCCGCACGAACGTACCTCTAGCTGTGGTCGAGCCTGGGGTTCTTAGTTCCTAGGGTATGGCAGCGAGACAGGGTTTAGTGCAAGGGGTGCATATCCAGGCTCAACAACAGGGTGCTCAACTTGTTAGGTTTGATGCAGCAGTGCGGGCCCCTTAACATCGCCGGTTCGTGCGCGGCGTACCGACTGGTGCTTTTCATTTGTACAGAACGACTGGGCGTTTCAGCATATACCCAGCAAATTTTGTTTTTTCATCGGCGCTATACAGGGCCGCCACCGGCG